ATTATAATAGCAGTTAGCAGCGCACAAAGGAGTCAGCACACGAAGAGTTTTTTTTGAGCAGCAATGAGTCGAGAAGGCTCTGCCCTCCTTTGAGTACCTGCTCAAAGCATAGTTTGCGAACACGTTCAAATAGTAATATATGCATACATTGTCTTAGAGAGTTTTAACAAATTGATGGTGTTATTAGGGGGACTTCGGATTCGGTATTATGTCTTCGGTCATGTTCAGCATGATTATTTCCAGTACTGATTGAGTACATTGGCACACTTTCCGCCAGAATCATAATCGGTAATCACAGCAAGATGAGCCAGCCTTAGCGCCGAAATACAATCTATAAAAGCGACTTGACAAAACTCACTGAATAATTAGTCAGGAAGGTCACGGCAGAGGACGCAGTAAGAGGTAGGGTTGTTCGAAGTCCCCTGAAAACACAGACAAGGTGAGGAAACTAGAAGAGACTAAGTTTATAGAGTGAAAAGATCCCGCAACTAAAATAAACGCCACGTCATCCTGATCTGCATAACTCCGATATTCGACAAGCACCACTTTTTATATTCTTGGTACAACATTCAGTAAGTGAAAGAATTGTCCAAAACAAGATAAATTTCTAGAGATGCCGTTAAAGAGCAAGCGATACTTTCGATAAGAGAACGGAAGGATGGAAGCAGTATATTGCAGCAAAAGATATGGATTTCATAAAAGTAGTGGCAACCTAAATCGATTTTGTTTTGGAGAAGCAGGACTTACGCATGTTTTTAATGGCGAAGCCACATGGATAAGTGTTTCCTTTAAGTGTAGTGGAAGAAAAACATTTTTGGGGCCTCGAAAGGTGTGAGGGTAAGAATAAATATTTTATGGGGGATAAAAAGTTAGCTTATGAAGCAAATAAATTTGTGCTCCTTGGTACCTTTTTGCTACCGTAATCCGTTTCAAAAGTTATGCACAGACCAAAAGCAGCTAATTCGCATACTGACCTCCATTCTCCTTGTCCTGTTCGTTGTGGTACCTGTAGACACTCAACGTGACCAGCATATGCGCAAGACCCACAGCCAGACGGTCCTCCTGACGCACCGCCTGGATCGATGCCCGCTGACTGAGCGCCACGTCCAGAAGATGGGCAGCCCTGTCCGCTGACGGGGCCAAAATTTCAACTCGTTTTCCCAACAAAGATAGGAAGCTTGGTCCCAGTCCACTGGCATTTTTGGTGGCTGTGGATGTGACAGTCGAGATGGGAGGATCAGAGGTTCGCCCGCCTACTGCCGGTATGCCACAAACCAATTCTTCATAGTCATCCTCAGAGTGGGGCTGTGAGGTCGTCGTATCTGGTTGTATTGGGGTTTTTTGCAGCGGTAAAACCAGAGGT